CAATCCACAGGACCTCGACGGCCAATCCAACGACCAGGGAAATTGTTATCTAAATAATTCCTAACTTGTCTGTAGTAGTGTGGTGGTGCACCATCTTGCTGGAATACAATATCAGTATCGAATTCACTAGGATTCGCTTCGACGATTTCGGTGATTACAGGGTCAATAATATTTTCCAGCATATCCAAATACAGTTCCCCGGTTGAAGTTTGTTCGATGAATAGAGGCCCCACAATATGATTTCCCAATATCCCAGCCCAAACGTTAATTTTTTGTGTATATAACGTATGAGTTTCCCGGAAGACGTGAGGATTGGTGTCACTCCAATAACGACAATTTTGTCTATGCACATTACCGTTGAGAAAAAATGTACATTCATCACTAAAACAAGCATTTTGGATATAAGTAGGATGCCGTGCAATGGTTTCCGCAATAGTCTTGCAGAATTCTGTTCTTCGATCAGGGTCATCTTCAGTTAGCTGATGTACCATTTGAATTTTGAATGGGTGATACTTATTTTTTTTCAAAAGTCTCCATACAGTAGAAGAACAAACCTCACATACATTCGCGATGGAGGAAGTGGACTGTTGGGGATTTACTATGATCTCACCAATTATTTGAACTTGCTTTTCTTCCGGGATGGTCGGATGACCTGGGGGCTTTTTGTTGTTTACACTACCAGTATCTGTAAATTTAGATACAAGTTCCCTTAAAGATTTTCTACAGATAGCACGATTCGGGAAACGATCACTAAAAACCCTTTCTGTCTCGTGAAAGTTATGCATCGCACCATAAATAAAAATTGCTTCGATTTTTTCTTCCCACGGACGAGAATTGACCATTTTGAAAATAGTTCAAACAGTACCTAGCACTAAAACCGAAAACTCAATAACACTATTTTAACTGCCCAATGATGTTTGTTTTCGTACTGATATTCTTGTCACTCTCAACAGAAAATAACAATACACGTTTTTATCGCTGTTGCTGTGGATACGGCAGGGAATTACAATTATTTGTAGAGATATGCATGTTAGTGTTCAAGTAATTATTAAATGTACCACCATTTTGTAGTAGGTAAATTTATTGACTTTATATTCTAAGGTTATAAGGTACTGTCAGGAGCTTCAAAGTGGTGTGCCACAAAACCCCCGATTTCATATAATTTTTTTTCCAAAATGGCGCCCAGCGGCCATCTTGACATTTTCATATGTCAATTTTACTCTAAAATATGGTATCCACGCATCAATTTCATTGCCTCAAGTTTTAATTTTTTGAATTGATCCGTTCAAAAAATCAAAGGGGAGGGGGACATGAAAGAGAAGCACTGATTACACATATTGAATGAAAAATGTCAATAGTCAAATTACCTATTCTCTATCAAACTATTGCAAAACGAATGTATTTTACTTTACACTTCTTCCACGCGGGCAGCGCCGCGGGGGTTTAGACTAGTGTGTTATCCAAGGTGTTGAAATACGAAAAAAGATCATATGAACGGAGAGCATCATTTGCATAATATGGGGTGTTTAAAGTTTTCCATTTTTGATAGTTTCCCTTACATCTCTCGTAAACAGATTGTGATAAAGAGAAGAATTTTGGTACACATGTACATATTCTCAAAGGTCATATTAGCATGTACATATTTTTTTTCTGACGCGAACAAATGAGATTCTTCTTATTAATCATAGTCAATGATTCTATTTTCTTATACTGATGCAACCGCCTAAGCAAAAACCCAAATGCCGAGGCACCGCGTTGTTAATCCGATTTTTGAGCAGCTAAAAACAAAATGAGACTCATAGGTTGTACAAATAAATATCACTGAAGGTCTTTAATCGAACAGGAATGCAATTTGCCTTCAAGTACAAAGTAGTTTGAAAATGCTTGTTCTCAAGTCAAGTAGAGCTATAAAAAATCATGTCAAGCCAAGGATTCACGTCTCAAGTAATTTGATTTTCAAGTCAAGTAGTTTATAAAAATATCAAGCTACTTGACTCTTTTACATAAGTTATAAACCATCAAAACCAGTTTTCTGGCTTTTTTTACTATTTTTTTTATAGCTTTTGAAACCCCAAATACTGAATTAAGCCCAAAAGTTTATATATAACTGGTTTGTTAGTCAATGACAGGCATCTTGTTGTTTCCTGAAAATTTCACAGAACTGACTTGTAAGGTTTTTTGAATGACTGATTTAGTTATTCTCATTATTTTATTGGCCTCAACCTGTTTTGTCAACTATAAAGCTTTATGTATTTTTTGTAGTGGTAGTAAGTGCAATATTTTAAATTTAAAATTCCTCGTCTATCAGTGCGGAGATTGAAAGTCCCTTACTACTCACAACAAAAACATAATCACTGGTACACCAGAAAGCCTAGGAAACATCAAAACGTGAAGTTTGGAATAATAATCCTCTTGGTTGAACTAAGTTTTGAAAGTAATAAAGCTATTTTGTTGTAGTAGGCGTACTATCTCGTATTCGAAATTCAAAGCTACCTCCAGAAAGCAAAACCCTAAACTTTGCAAAAGAACATATGTTACATGGGATTTTAAGTTAATTATTATCTGTCTATCAACCTATAGAACGTTCTTTACTTCCGCCAAAAGATAGAATCCCATTCCTAAATGTTGAACCCTTCAGAAAGTTTTTCACTATCAAGGTTATCATTTCAGCAACTTTTGTTACTTATCCTCAGAGGCTGCACCGACGTTCAAAAGTTTCAGAGCTTTTTCTCATAACGTAAAAGTTCGAAGTTCAGTGTTTCCATTAACTACTAGCCAGGGAGATCAAAAGACTAGACAATGTTAATAGCCAAAAAAACGCACATCACTCACCGAAATAAAACCAAGTCACCAGTACACCTAGTTACCAAAACAGCACATAAACGATTTCGTATCGGTACCGTGAACCGAGCACATCAACCTGTTACGCTTCCCCATGCTTCCGGGGAACTACACACCGCACGCCGCGTCGCGTCAGGCGTCCAGAGCGTCCCGACGCGCGTCGCGAGATGAACACGCAGGATGAAAACGGCGTCGATCGGTGTTCGTCTGGCACTGATGCTGGATTGCTGGCGCTCTCCCAGGGACCATCCAGTAAGAACAGGGACGAAAAGAGAGGGGGAGTGAGGTCTGGAGTATTCCGGCCAGACCACCGTGCGTACGGAGGCTTTTTCGATTGTTAGGAGGTCAACTCTTTGTCTATATTCCGAATGACACACTTTTTGATATGACCTACTGATACGCTCGAGATAAATCAAATCTCTAAAAGGATCAGGCACAAAACATGGGTCCCAATCGATTTGTCTAAAAATTCAGTATAATATATATTTCTTGCCTTCCCGAAAAAAAGTGGCCATGAGACCAAACCAATCCTATAGAGAAGAAATATTTCGTTAAAACACCTTGTAGGAAGAAACTCGTGCCAGATCTATCCCAGCATATACATATGAAAATCAGCTTGCATACTGACCTTGTAGGGATCATGGTCAGTATCAACATTTTCTTTTCATTTACCAATTCTTCGAGTTAATGACCTGAGAACTAAAACCGGCACATTCACCGTTTTTGCAAATCGGGCAAACTACCTTCCTCCTTCTCAGAAACCAATCATAGGACTGCTTTGGTCCCATGGACAATTTTATTCGAGAAGGCAAGAAATATACCATCCTGAATTTTTAGACAAATCGACTGGGATCCATTTTCCATCTGTTTTGTGCCTGTTGCTTTATTTCTTTGGTTACTTCCTATAAACCAGGAGTTCCCAACCAGGGGGGCGCGCCTCCCAAGGGGGGTATAGAGATGTCAAGATGTCAAGGGTGGTGGAAAGCATTTGCATTTTAGAAAGAAAAAATAAAAAAATAAACAAACAACATTAACAAATAATATTACAATGTAATGTTTAATTTACACGCATAAAATTAGAAACTAAATATCATATTCACTTATTCTGCCAACCGCTGTTTCAAAACGCGGTGTCATCAATCGCAGTTTATACAAGTTTCGACAAGTCACAACATGAAATTTGACATTTCGATGTACATGTTTTGTTGAGAAACCTGTTAGAGTGTGTCAAATTATTGTGTCTCACTGTTAAAAGGTAAGTTTGCGTATTTACAAACTTCAGTTACCATTTTTATTTAATTTACTAAATTGTTGATTGAGTGGAGACGCGTTCATAGATCGGCCATTGGGACTTGTTTACCAAATCACAATCAAACCAAAGTGGCGAAATAATTTTGAAACGACGAACTTTAAGTACCTAATATTGATTCCAAATGTATTTAAAATCACTATTGTAACGCCACCCTGCCTACAAAAATATAAATTTCCCGGTGGCCAATACATTGTTGAATACATTATGTTATTAAGATAAAATAAAGGGCACATGTAGGTATTTAGCTTATTTATCTACTTATTTGTTTCATTGTTATAGGTGCAAAATGGCAGCTAAAAAATGAGAGTTTTCCGAAGATTACGTTAAGTTTGGATTTACCTTCATAGAAAAAGACGAGTTACAATTGCCTCTGTGTGTGATATGTATGAAAATTTTAAGTAATGATAGCACGAGGCCCAATCGCGTTGAAGAACATCCTACTCTGGTTTTGAAGACGAATTAGTTTTTTTCTTCTAAAGCAGAATCACTCAAGCGGATGAGACTGGATAAATCGGGAAGTTATCACACAGGTGTGTCGCAGCATCTCAAAGCTTCATTTGAAATAGCTTTTACGATAGCAAAGCAAAAGAAACCTCATACTATCGGTGAAGAATTAAGAAAACCATGTTTCCTTAAAGCCAGATTTTGTACTCCCAATTTACATCTGAAGATATATTTAAATCAATATCAAATTTTGCTGAAAAAAATTATTTGGATTGGAAGAAACTCATTGGACTTTGTACAGATGGCGCACCTGCCATGATAGGTGTACGATCGGGCTTAGCTAAAAAGCTCAAAGAAAAAAACCGGCAATGGTTAGTACACATTGTGTTATTCATTGGCAACCTTTGGCTTCCAAAACATTGCCACAGAAATTACGCCAGACTTTGGACTCGGCTATAAGGATTGTAAACTGCATCATGAGCAACGCTTTGAACAGTCGGTTATTTACTTTACTTTGCGAGGATCTCGATACTGATCACAAAGTTTTTCTGTTCCTTACAGAAGTACACTGGCTGTCCAAAGGCACCATGTTGGCTCGCCTTTATGAATTGAAAGAAGAGGTAATTCTTTTTCTTGAGTTCAACGAAAAACATGATTCATGTACAAAGTAGTTTGAAAATGCTTGTTCTCAAGTCAAGTAGAGCTATAAAAAAACATGTCAAGCCAAGGATTCACGTCTCAAGTAATTTGATTTTCAAGTCAAGTAGTTTATAAAAATATCAAGCTACTTGACTCTTTTGCATAAGTTATAAACCATCAAAACCAGTTTTCTGGCTTTTTTTACTATTATTATTCAAGCTTTTGAAACCCCAAATACTGAATTAAGCCCAAACGTTTATATATAACTGGTTTGTTAGTCAATGACAGGCATCTTGTTGTTTCCTGAAAATTTCACAGAACTGACTTGTAAGGTTTTTTGACTGGCTGTCCAAAGGCACCATGTTGGCTCGCCTTTATGAATTGAAAGAAGAGGTAATTCTTTTTCTTGAGTTCAAAGAAAAACATGATTTCTTGACAATGTTCAAAGATGACATATTTCAATGGAGGTTGGATTATTTAACTGACATATTTGACTCCTTGGATGAGCTAAACTTGAAACTTCAGGGCAGAAACAACACTTTAATAAGCAATTATGATTATGTTCAGGGGTTCATATCAAAGCTTCAACTTTGGAATCAAAAAGTGTCTTCCGAAAATGTTATATATTTTTCTCGACTGTTCGAAGCAATTAAAAATAACATACTGGACGCAAATTTAAAAGCTGACAACAAAACTCATTTCTAAGCGCTGGAAGACGAATTTCGCCGATACTATCGAGACATCAATTCAGATTCACCAATATGGCACATGACAAGAAATCCATTTGTTGTCGATGTGTCACAATTACCAGAAGAAGTTCAGGAAGAATTTCTAGAAATGAAGGCTGATTCGTCCATGAAAGATGACTACCATCTTTTAACATTGGAGAAATTTTGGATAAAATAATTCGACACTTGCCTGTCATGCTTCACGAATACTAGTTTCTTTTTCGTCAACTTACTTATGTGAGACAAGCTTTTCTGCTCTAATTTTAATTAAAACTAAACAGCGAAATCGTCTTGATGTCGATAGCGACCCGATGATAGCTCTGGCGAACACAGAACCTAGAATCAACCGACTGGTTCAGAACGTGCAATCTCAAGTGTCTCATTAGTACCTACTCTTATTTAATTCAAGTTTTTCGATAAAAAGTATTTATTGGTTTATTTCAACTTTTAAAGTTTCTTTATTAGAATTAAAATAAGTCTTTGTACCTACATAATGTGAGTTTTTTGTATTTATTGAAAAAGTAAATGGGGGGCATCAACATATAATTTATAGTCCGGGGAGCCTCAACAAAAAAAAAAGGTTGGGAAACCCTGCTCTAAACTGTCCCCAGCCAAGTTTCTTAAGTGTGAGTGTGTGTGCATGTGCTACTTCTGTTATGTAACAGTCTTGCATTCACCTTCTTAGGGCCTTAATAAATGCGTGTATTGCTGTGGGTTGAGAATGCAAAATGGAAACCGCGACGATTAGTACTCCTCTGGCACTGGTGCTGGGGATTACTGGTGCTTTCCCAGAGACCATTCAGAAGGACTAGGGACAGAAGGAGAGGTGTAATGAGGTCTTCTTCCGATTGACACACTTTTGGATATAACCTACTGATACACCCGAGGACAAATCAAAGCTCTAAAAGATGTTTCTTCTAGACAAGTCCCAGGATCTTGTGTGTAACAGTTTCGCAGCGATAGTCTTAAGGCATCACTAGAAACGTTTGTTGCTCATGTATCTTAATACGCGAGTCTCATTTGAAGTCGCTATTTTAATGCTTATCTGAGAATGGAGTGGGTTTTTCATGATTCTGATATTATTGATTACGATAGTACAGGAAATATATAGGATATTATTATTTAATCGATTTGTGACGGAAGGATCAAACGCATTGCCTTTTCTGAAAAAACCTATTGCACTTGCCAAATTCTTTTATTATGCCATCGGCATTATGCCAAAAGCAAGCTTTGAGAGGTAATTATTTAGAGCCGTTAAAATTGAAGCAGGTCACACTCACAAACAAAAATTCGGATTTTGTCAGAAATTCCGAAGTAATTTTAACCAAAAAATTATTTTTGAAAAGAGTTAACGTATAGAGATATCCCCATATTTTGGTATTTAGGGAAAATATGTCTTATTTGTTCGAAATGATCCAAAATAACCTAAACATTTTTAATTTGTTTAGAAAATGGCTAAACAAATTTACACCACGTCAACGCCCGACATACCATGAGAAGTGGGTCTTTACTGGTCAATAATGGCATTCTCTAACGAGGTATGTATGGAATACTACAAGTCGTCCAGGCTTGAGCCGCCAGTTTGACAGTTGTTGAGATTTGACATTAAATTCGTACTTTTTGGCGAAAATAGATAAATGTGCGAAGGTTCCATACAATCCTAGTGTTCCAGACAGTTGCTGAAAATGCGTCTGTGTATTGCAAAAATTACTTTAAATTGAATAAGAGCAAATCTTTTTATCAATAAGTGATACGAAAGGGCATGCATTTTAATATTAAGCTTTTACCTGAACGGTTGTGAGGTAATTTTGATTTATTTCATCTCACTTCTTGTTTCATTGAGTACTTAGTACCAATCTTAGGCTTATTAACAGAATTGAATACCTAACAACAAAATTGAAAAATGTTAGACATTGACATTAGACACAAGCAAACATGTTTGATGGATACTGAAAAATGTCAACCGAAACTTTAATCTAATTAAACTAATATAAACATTATTTACATTCATTTTGAATCTAAAAGTTCATGAAAATGATTCCAAACCATGTTATTGGATAATAAATATAGTGACAATGATAAAATAGCAGGAATTTCCAAATAATGTTCAACTATGTATTTGCTTTTAACCTGGAATCTGCTCGTATCACGTATAACTGTTTAGAAGAACCGAGTAGAATCCATGCAAGGTGTCCGACTATTTCAAATAATACTGCTGTTTGATGGAGAGGAAGTTTCGTATTGTTCACCGTTCAAAATCACTAATAAAGCAGAATTGTTCATATGCTGTTATATTAATAAATATTTAATTTCGTTTCATTGACTTATTTAATTCGTGCCTGTTTATTAACAATAACTGAGCTATTCTCAGATAGTATTTCTGCCTTGCGTTACGTGAGCACACCCAGTACGAATAGCTACTTGAATTTCCTTTTCAGAGAAAGGTAGGCAGTCGTAAATTAGCCAAAATTAACCAAATCGACTAAAACTACACAATAATGTAGATCAACAATGCGATGTAAACATATAGGCTTGGCTCCCTCTATATAATCGAATGTTGCTACTACTCAGTAACTTTCGTTACATATAACGAACAATGGTGTTCAATCAACCGAGACAAATCCATTGCGGAGGTGGGCGAAAAACCTCACGAGCTCCATCTATCAAGGATTTGCCTATTTGATCTTCATTATTACCAGCCAATAAATGCCCAACGTTTTGCATGTTGCACAGATAGATAATAAGAACAATATATCTTTATAGCCCTACAGAAAAATCCACTTATAGTCTCATATTAGATGAAATTACCCCCTGGCTTGCGAAATAATTGTAAAGTCTGGTTTTATTGATGTAAGTTGATCAAGGGAGTATTTAAAACATGGACGCTACACCCATTTTTGTGGAAAAACTTTTTATTCGACAACAAAGAATGAGCAAATGTGTTTTTTGGGATTCAACTGAAAATGTTATCAGGAAGCAAAAAACTCTTCAAATAAGATTTTTAGGTATTTATGAGACCTACAGAATGAGACTACGCGTAAAAAGATCCGACTAATAATAAAAAAGTTATGGCCGAAAACCGAGGCAAAATGCAGGTTTTGGCACTTGTGGCTAATGCGACGATAGTTTCGCGCAACTACTTAAAAATCTTCAAATCTGTAGGCTTAATACTTCTAAGTAACCACAAAAAATTGGAGTAGCTCAAGTAGTTTTTGAGAAGATCTAATTGTTTATCCCAAAAAACATGTTTACAGGGTTCGTTCAAAGGGCATTATATAGCAAAATACACGAGTTTAACTTGCCGAAATGAATCACAAACCATTCCGAAAGAGGATTGTTACTTTTATGCGAAAAACGAAGGGTTACGTTTTTTTTCTAAACAAATTCAAACATTTCATATTTGTGAGCAATTAAGCAGATTCGCTACGATATTATACACATTTTAAAATAAATCGGATGTGTCTATCACCTTTTGTTGCGAAGAAATCAATTTTCATTTCTTCATACTCTTGTGTATACATATTTAGAACTAAAATTTATACACGGTCACAGATGAGCCTTGAGGTTTATAAAAAAAAAAATTCATACGGAAATGCGCTGAACTGTTTATAAAGTTTGCACGCAAACTGAACCTCCATCCTGCGGTTCTGCAATCGATACTCATTCTCACTACTCTTGGTTTACTGGATCTTTATACCACTATACTTGACACTGACAAATGTCAAGCGAACGTTGGAAGCGTATCAAATCTGTTATAAACAGTTAGAATACTCTTGAAAACTGTACAAGATACAATGATGAAACCTTTAATAACGTATCAGGGACATTTAGCCAAATTTTTCAGACAGTCAGTTCGCTACAATTGGTTGATATTTGTCTACTGGTTTTTCATTTTCTCGAGTTTATTTTACAACATTTAGAGTCCTTTTATCGTACGAGATGCAGGAGAGAAAAGACTATGAAAATCAAGGAGGCCATAAAGGTGTCCTAGAATTGTATAACGCCTTTATGGCATACGGAAGAGTAGAACATTATGAAAATCAAGGAGGCCATAAAGGCGTCCTACAATTGTAGGAACGACTGACGATATGGTACCTTAATGTTGTTAAGTAGATAATAATAATCACTGAAAATACCCAGCATATATGAAGTATCTTCTATAGCGTTAAAGCTGAAGTGCATAAAGTAGATGTGTGACTTAATCATGGCATTAGAGTTGTTAAGTAAAAAGCGGGACATCGGGAAATTAGGCATGGTACATGAAAAGTCAATTTCAGCTAATAAAGCTAATGAATCTGCTTCACTGTGTATGGGTTTGCAAAGAAATTTAGTCCCGCGACTAGGATAATCACCGAATATTTTAATTGCAGATAAAACTATCATATTAATGTCATCAATGAATTCTAATTCAGCATCAAACAACACACCCACATCTCTTACTTCAGAGCAACGCATTAAGCTAAAAGAATAGAACTAGCATTTGGCAACATTCAAAAATATTTCGGTAGTTGAGCATCATTCAAATATACGATTCTGGTTAGCATCCAAGGTTAGACAGTCAATAATGCTGTAGATGTCGCACTAGCAAAATGGTCGACCCATCTAGCATCCGAATTCCAAGTATTCACAGGGCAGACCAACAATGTCCTTCTATGGATATATGCATAAAAAATTAGGATTGTAATGGACATTATTGCTTCCTGTCATTCCTCGACCAACCGCACGCTAATGAGCACGAAACAGCGTTATCTCCAGTTCGTTACAGAGACAGAAAGCAAATATGTCCACTTCAAAAAGGAGACAAATCCTATTTTATTTTGAAGTACCAAACGTTTTTGTGCTACTAGGCGACGTTGTCTGCTATTGTGAACGCTTAACGTTTCGCCAACATGAGTTTGACATCTTCAGAGGCTCTGCAATCTTGAAGTCTAGGATGATACTGAGTGGTGTTCATTTTTTCGATACCCCGGCAGGGTTATTAGTTATAACCTGAAAACTGACAAAATGTCTACTTGCTGCTATAAGCGCAATGAGCGTCAGCTATGAACGACACGCTAAAAGCTCATGCTTTGTTGGTTGCGAAATGCCGAGATAGTCTTTAGAGTATATCTCTTTAAAAATATGTGACCGAAAAAAAATTGGCTGAGTGGCAGAATAGTACGATCGCATCTGGATGATTGTGTGGCGATTGGGTTAATTACGATTTGCCTCTGTTTTGCGTTTTTAAAAACTTTCAAAGCCATTACAGGAAATCACCGCCTGCGTTGTGTGTAATTAAGCCATATTACACAAAATTAGGAATGACACATCAAACACAAATCATATTCGCAATGCCTTCCATTTAGGCGCAGATTTATATGGTCTATTTGAAAAGGCAAAACGAATTTCTATAAAATTTACATGACCGGAAGTAAATAATAACGTTAAATGTAACCTTTCCACTGTAGCCTATTTTCTCACTTGTTAGTTGCAATATACGTGAACAACCAGGGATTTTATTTTTCTATCTGTCTCATTTTTGAAGTTGCATATTATGTGATTTCCAAGATTAAGCAAACTTCCTAAGCAAGTGTATTTGAAACAAAAAACCAAGGGAATCATCATCAACACATTATCAGAGTACAAATCCTCGCTTAGCACCTACACACTGCCGTTTCGCCCGTTTCCTTCCAGCTATAGTATACAACTTAAACCTTCAATAATGCTATCTCCAAAGTAGATGTTATATCGCATCAGAGCCAAACCATGATACCTCAAGCATCATGACATTTGGTACTTCAAATCGTTAGCCTTACACAATTCATTTCTACCTTATCTTGTTCATCATCCCGCATCATATCCCACTCATCCAGAAAACAACGTTCCATAACTTTCATTTACCGTTTCCGATCGACACCTTTTTCGCTTTTCCGATGAAAATCAAGTTTTTCCGCGTCGCCAACATCGGATCGCGACGTTAACTGAGTTACGAGAATTACGAGGCAGCTCAACGAATTTTCCACAGGTTTCGCAAAGCTTTTCTAATGCATGTTTTACTGTAGGCGAGGTTTATTGTGTTGACTTATTAGTCGAGAGTAAATAGTTTACGTAACCGACCTGAAAACCGTAGGCCTCGTGTGAACTTTGTTCTCTTTTCCATTAGAGCATTTATTCAGTCTCGGATGCAAAACCAACTGGATTTTACTTCCCACGCCTACTAGCGAAGACATATTGTAATCGCAAAAAAATCGCACATGTAGTAGTAGTAATAATACTTTTTATTTCAAAAAATATGTATTAGGTATATGTATAGTATGTAACAAAATTAAAGTGGTGATCACAATAATTAACTAGAAAGCTATTCAATATTATTATATAATTGATTTAAGGTCTAACTTAATAAAATTATGAACAGTACAAAGTCTGAAAGCTTGAAACAAACCGTTTAAAAACTAAAAAATAAATTAAATTTAAGAAAGCAATTGCTCAAGACTTGCGTCAAGTATCCAATGCTTTATAAACATGCTTTTATTGCTTTTATGAGCATAATTTTCACCAATTTTCAGAAATTTGATTAATTCGAAACTTCGCCCACGGATCAAGGACCGATGACATGCAATAATTTGATAACAGATTTTCATTACCCTTATAAGTAACATTCTGTAAAAAGCAGATATGTTAATAAAAAGCCACGGATTCCAAACGCCGCTTTACGAATATTGAAACTACAAGCCTCTTGCTCAGTGGCAGAGCGCTTGTGTTGTAAACCAGAGGTCGTGGATTCAATTCTCACAGGAGGCAGATTGTGGAATACTTTTTCTGTTTTTTCAACATGCTTTTTAGCGCGCTTTTATTAGCTTGGCCTGTATGTATGTATGGAACGGAGTCTTTGAACATAATTTTCACCAATTTACAGAAGTTTGATTAGTTTGAAACTTCTCACACGTATCAAGGAACGATGACTATACAATAATTTGATACCACTTTTCCGTTATCCTTATTAGGATGAGGTAATTAATTATGATTGATTGTTCGACCATCTACTACTTTAATATAGAATCTTTGTAATTAAAAATTATTTTCTAATTTTTAGTTCCGATAGCTATAAAAGCGTGTTTTTTACTTTTGTTAAACTATTATTTATTTTATGTTTAATTTTCAGATACGAATTTGATCTGAATTGTAAAGGCATGGAATTGTATATCTTTGGGGACTTGTATAACAGAAAACTTCTGGTAAATGACCAATTAATTTTAGGTACAGGTAGAGATCCGCTTACCTGCCTTGATTTGTCTGCTGTCTTTATCGATTTTACTGTTACACAATACCCTAACCAATGACGTGACATATAATAGCGAAATTTGAAGCGCACTCGCTTCCATGCATAAATCAAGGGTACGATACATTTTATGTTTAAATAGAAATGTTTTCAATAAAGCTTTAGAAGAGTCTTAGAAGTAGCCCCCCAAAAAACGGACAAATACCGTACCTGAGTAGGTAAACATTCTGCTAAAGTTTTATATACACGCAATATACTTTTTTTTATTAAGGATAACCTTAGTATATAAAATTTATACAAAAGTTTCCGTATCTTTTCATACACATGATCAATATGAATATGCTACTTTGTATGGTAATAGACTCAAATTTTGGCAACCCTGACTTATAGGCAGCATAACAAAAAAATGTAGACTTATCAGTATTTAAGATGTACATCACGAAAAACTATTTAGCTCATTTCCATTGGTTGTCTGTCTGTCTATTGGTCTGACCGTGAATTCTTAGCTGGTCTATAACTTGGAAAGTACTGGTCGAGTTTGGATGAAATTTTGAGCCAAGATTAGATACTACTATATGAGGGGCAAAAACGCTTTATAGTTTTTGAACATGCCCAGTGACCGTGAAACTAGGAGCAAAAACATTGAAAATATAAAAAAAATTGGTTGGGTAGAGGCAGTGGCGGATTTAGAGGGGGGCGATGACTTCCTCTCTGACGAGAGACCTGGAGGTTATCGCTGCTTGGGGACGCAACAATCTTGAACAGTTTAATGCTTCAAAAACACAGTACTGTGACGAACAAAAAGCGTCCTAGCGTTCATTCGGTTTCGATGGATGGCCGAGTTATGCCAAAGAGCCAATCATTTCGGCTCGTGGGAGTCCAGATCACCGAGGACCTGATTTGGCATGAACACATCTCGTCAATAGCTGCAGCTACTGGGAAAAAATAGGCTATTTGCTTAGGGCTGAGAAGTACTTTTCTCCGCATGACTTTCTCACTCTATAAAGGGCCCAGATAAGGCCTAGCCTCCAGTATTGCTCACCCGTTTGGGGTGCTGCCGCTCCGACTACATTATTTATACTCGATGCTGTCCAGAGGAGGGCTGTCCGACTGATGGATGACTCTTCTTTAACAGAAAGTCTCGGGACTCTTTCGCACCGGCGGCGGGCCGTTGGCGATCTAGCTCCCTGCTACCGCTACACCAACGGGCTATGCTCCTCAGAGCTCTCTTCCATGATGCCGCTGCGCGATGTGCCTGCCAGACAGACCCGCCTGAGTTTGGCATCCCATCCTAACCGTGTCAAACTTCGTATATCCAGGACTGGCCGATACGACCGCTCCTTTGTCCCGAGGGTGTCAAGATTGTGGAACAATATACAAAAGCAAACTTATCCTAGTTCTACTAACATTAGGCAGTTCAAAAATCGGGTTAACAAAATTTCTTTGGGATCATCATAGCAGCCGCGGTGTTCCGGCATTTAGGCTTCTGCCTGCGCGGCTGCTTCCGCAAATTAAGAATGTGCAAACAACGAACGACTTTTTAAAAAAGCGACTTTATTTAACAGAAGACGAATGAGTACTGGTCACCTTGGTTTACATGCATCTCTTACTTATAACCTACGCTAGAACAAAGGAATTGAAAAGTGCAAACCTAAGCAACTCTACATATTAGATCATCATCATAGCAGTGCCGTAATTCCTCCCTCTTCAAGAAGATTGAACCTCCTGGTTCAAAGGAAAAATCTGGTTAAGTTCAATGTCATTTTTGACTGATTGATTTTTTGGTTCTTTTTGCTTCAAAAGAGAGAGCAATTGTTTTTTTAAACAAAGTATAATTACAACAAATGTTAAAATACATAAAATAGTTACAATGCTAAACGTGGACGTTTTGTGTGAAAAATCTAAATTTTTTAATTTATCGTGTAATAAAACATTATTCAATTGTATATCCGAATAACCCTTTACATCAGTATTTTCAAATAACATATTCTTATCATAGTTCACCATAATGTTAGGTATGTATAAAGGTTTCGAAATATCAGAAATCTTCAAATACTCAGTATGATCAATAAATGTTTTACAGTTTAAGCTGATAATAAAAGAGGAATCAATTTCTTTTCTTTCTTTGGTACAATCTTCATATACTGGAATATTCTTGTTAGTATTCACTAAATAGTTATCATGTTTTAATTGAATTACTTCTGAAAATGAACCTTTTGCCAAGAACGTACAATTTTCAACTTTAAGTAAGTTACAACTGGAATGGATTAGTATAGTACAGTAAAAATATTTATTACTCAATAATTTGCATTCATCACAAAAATGTATAGTTTCATTTTCGATAATATTTTTATGTTTCAATACCAGAATATTATTTTGGTGTATAATGGGGTATATATTGGAATATATAAAGTTACCAGTAACTGTTGGTATGTGAAGAACAAATATGATTTCTTCTTCGAGGACTATAATACTTAATTCACATAATTCGAAAAATTCAAAATTGTGCAGTTTATCAAGTGGGAGAAGTTCATTTTTGTCAAATAGATCACTTAATAACGAATGGATATAATTAATTTCAGTCTTACTCAGCTGTAAGAGATTTATGCCCTGATTTGTGCTCAGGTTAATGGTTAACAGTAAGTGTGATAAATAATTAGAAAATCTTTGAATAATTATTATCTCATTCAAGACATACTGAGAATTAGCGTATTCGCTATGCAATTTGTTGAGGTTATCCAAATTATCTCTCAAATTTTTCTTTATAATTAAAGTGTTATTTTCAAACCTGTCTTGTAATTGTTTTGCTACAGAGACGGTTCGGGAATTTTGTAATGATAAATTATCTTGATTTTCCTTCAGAATTTTCATATTTTCCATTATTTCGTCTAGATCAGATTGATCTAAATTGCCTGAAATATATTTTATGACGGAACCAAGACCATTAAATAATCCACGCTTAACTCGTTTAAATTTTAACATTTCATATTTGTCTAAAAGCAAATTGTATTCATGTTCAAGTTGTGTTATCAACGTATCATCTATTCTTTGTTTTGCAAAATAGACATTTGACGTTATTTGCTTGATATTTTCATTAATGAGAGTGAGATTTATATGAAAAAATGTCTTATGGTACGCTTTTAGTAGATAGGCGTTACCTAGCTCTTGCTTAAAATATGGTGCTTTATTCTCGATCAGCTGGATCTCTAGGCCGGCTAGTTGAAGGGCCTGGATTAGGATCCTGAAAGTTAGAAATTTTGCGTTGCGGTTTCACTCTATTCAGTCTATGCTTTTTTCCTTTAGTGCGCAAATTAATATGGACATTTTCTTGTTCGTAAGAGGTCTCTTTAGAATACAGGGGTTTTGTTTTATGTGAACGATCTAATGCAGATTTAAGATATACTGGACCTTCTAAGGTTGGAATTTCCTTATTTCGATTTTGATTATTTTTTTCTAGTCTTTCCGTTGCCTTATCTAGTACACGGTTCGATAGTTCTTCATAAAAAGGTACTAATTCTCTGTACCGTTTCTCGTTATATTCATCATATAATTTTGTGGGGGTATCGATCAAATGCTTATTCAAATCGTCGTAAGGCCCGTATAATAATGAAAATGGGGTATATGTGGTCGTAGAATGGACACTTTGGTTATAAATTAAGATAGCTGTCGTCATTAGATCAATAATCGAATCGATTTTATTTTGCTGACGTAAAATTTTGAGTTTTTCTTTCAAGGTACTATGAAATCTTTCAAGAGGTGATAATGATGAGGGGTTACCTACACTAGTAACATGACATTCAATTTTGTGCATATTACAGAATCCTTTTATAACTTTTGTGTTAAGTTCACCAGGATCAAAAGTTATTTTGTCAGGATAATTGTGATGGGAAAAGAAGTGTCTGATTTTGTTTAATATTTCGTTAGATAATTTTGATTTTAAATTGTAGGCCTGGGCATATTTACTAAATAAATCAACAAATGTTAAAAATATTTGTTGTTCGACTTGAAAAATATCTAGAAATATATGTTCAAATGGTCTTTTGGCTATTAGAGGTCCTTCCATAGGGAGTTCGATTGGTCGTCTTTCGTATTTTGATGTCAAACAAGTATTGCACTGATTAATGTAATTTGATATTATTTTTTTCATATTTGGAGTGAATGCTTTTTTCTTGAAATGGCTGTAAGTTTCATTGATACCATTATGCGTTTGGCTATGATAGAAAGACAATTGTTCTGTAAATGAGTCTTTTAGTAGGTATATAGGCTTATAAGAAGCTTTAACAAATCTTATACCGCTGTTCGAAAAATACTGTTCTAAAAGTTCGTTAAGTTTAAATTCTAAAAGTTGATTTTCATACCAAATACCATAAGTATGATCGGGCTGAAGATATTCCTTCATGAATTTCAAAAGTTGCTCTGTTTCAGATCCACTTCGGACTGTTACCATTAAAGTTCCATTGCAAGACTTTGTTATTTTGTACTGATTTTTTAACTGAAAATGTATTCGATTTTTGAAAAAATA